AATCCCTCAGCTGGCAAAGGATGTGTGTGGGAACTTCAAAGCCCTGCAGCCAAGAGGCCGAGGTGATGGGCTCTCACCTGGAGCTGCAGGCAATCAGCTGGAAGAGGAAAAGCCCAGAGCATCTCCTGGAGCCCAGGGAGCCCAGGGAAGCACAGAGAGGAGTGAAGCAGCATCCTCCACTCTTCCCTTGTGTGCAGGCAGTTGGGAAGCTGTTGTGATTTAGATTCCAGCCCGGCTATGCTCGGTGTGCCTTGGCTTGTCAGGAAAGGCTGGCAGCCCAGGGCTGAGGGTTGTCTTCTGCAAACAGAGATGGCAGTTTGGGGCTCCAGAGCCCACATGTGGGACAATCTGCTTGTCCTTTATGGGATCCTTCTGCTTTGGGGTCTAACAGCCCTCCCTACCCCCTCCAGTGTGTGCCCAAGGTGTTCTGCAAAGTTTCCTGTACAAAAAATTTTTTTGCCAGCAGTAGTGTAAGGAAAAATGCAACAAATATTTTGTGTGTCCCAGCCCTGGGAGGGGGACAGGAGGATGAAGAGGATCATAGAGGTGAGACGGCTCTTGTTTGGGGGGACACACAGCCTGCATTTGAGTGTGCCACTGTGACACCAGTCCTTGTCCTCCCAAGTGCTGCCTTCTGCAAAGTGGCTTTTCCCATGGTGTCCTCTGTCACCCCAGTACTGTCCCCAGGAGACCTTTCTCACTCCTGGGCAATCCTGGTAACTCCTGGCCTTCAGGCTGCTAGCCAAAGGCTTGCCAGGCTGCCTGGGCACTCAGGTGAGGGTGGCTTAGCATGAAGCTTTCTCTCTCCCTGCCCTATGCACTTCGTTGCTGAGGCAGGTGAGAAACAATGCAGAGCCAGCAAAGACAGGCTGGAAACAACTGCATCCATAAAAGCTGGAAGCCAGGTGTACCAGCTCCCCCCCGGGCGACCCTGCACAGGCACCAGGCTGTGGCATTAGAGGAGAGATCAAGCTGCTGGTAATCAGCTCAGGGCTCAGGCCATCAGGATCAGGACAGTGTCTGAGGGCACAGTGCCAGCTCCTCATCTGCTTGTTTTGGTTCCTTCCCCAGTGTTTCCTTCCCGTAGGCAGCAGGGACTGATGGCACCAGGAGCAGCTCTGAGGGACCGCCAGAGGGTACCATGCCATGACGCCAATCCATCTCACTACAATCTGCAGCTAATTCTTAATCTGGCGATGAGCTTCGGGGATTTCCCAGTGCTGACACACTCCACAATTGCGGGAGCATCTGACTTACAGCACCGATCATTCCTCTGCATGAACACAGCCTCTGTCCCTGCAGCAGAAGGAGGTGGTTTATAGCCTAGATCCTGTGTCACAGGCTTCCCCTAAATCCACCTCCTTTGTGTATCTCAGCTTCCCTGAGAGGTTCAGCTGTAGGCAGTTATTTTTATGGTCTATTTCTTGGTCCTTTGCTCATGCAATGAAAATGAGCAACTCGGAAGCCAGATGGGACAGGTATTCCTGGGTAGGAGCAACTGCTCTCTATTGGGAACAAAAATCAAACCAAAACAAAAAACAAAACAAAACAGAACAACACAACAAAAAACACCAAAACAGAAAATCATATTACCTTTCAATTTTTCTTGCTCCAGAATGAGCAAGAAGGGAAGCAGGAAAGCCCAGAGGTCTGTCTCCACCACAACCCCATGGTTGCCAGCCTGATGTTTCTTAGAAGTGCAGGGAGCAGTGCAGGAGCAGGAACCACAGGACAGACCATGGTTCTCTCATCTCTGACCACTGTTATCACAGGGATGTCTGAGCTTTTGTATCTAACAGACTTCCATGGAATTTTCTTCCTGCAGTGGGGAGTCCTGCAGGGAGTCCTTGAGTGACCTACACCATTCATTTTCTTTCTCCACCTTCATTCTTTATTTGCTGCCCCAATGGCTCTTCTGTTGAAGGCAGCAGGAACTGTCACCCCTCCTCACCTTTTCCGTGACACTTGGGGTAGTAGTTTAACCTTCTATCCCTTCCCCTTGGTGTCTCTTCATCCATGTGGACATCACAGCTGTTCCCTCCACAGAACATCCTTGAAGTGCCACTCTGAGCCTCATCCAGCTCTGGAGGATCCTTAGGAAATATGAAGGCTGGAGTGTCAGGAGGAGGACCTGCCAAGGGCAGGGATGCAAGCTGCAAACTACTTTGTCCTTCATGGAGCAGGAATGCAGGGAAGCAAGGATGCAAGCTGCCAGCCACCTCACCATTTACGGGGCAAGGACGCAGGGAAGCAGGGATGCAAGGATGCAGGGAAGTGGGGATGCAGGGATGCAGGGAAGTGGGGATGCAGGGAAACAGGGATGCAGGGATGCACACCACTTCATCCTCTGCGGGGCAGTGGCAGGGCTCCTGTATCGGGAGGCAGTGGTGCTCTGGGCTCTGGGAACCGGCCCCGCTGTCCCCTGTCCCCTGTCCCCTGTCCCCTGTCCCCCCCGCCCCGTGCCGCCACTCGCAAGCGTGGAGCGGGGCGCCCTCTGCCGCGAGAGAGCGGCACTGCCCGGAGCGGGCGGGGGGGACGCGGCCACCCCCGAACCTCTCGCCCGGCTCTCGCAGCAGCCCCGTTGCGACAGCAGGGTAGGCAGCAAGGCAGAATTCTCCCTTCTCTCCACTTGGAAAGTCTGGATCCCACTTCTCGTGCTCACCCCCAGCCCCCTATTCCCAACCGAGGGTGCTGTGACAAGCCCCCCAACTCGTGTCCTCCCCCATGCAGGGTGCAGCAGCTGCTGTGGAGCGGGAGCTTTCCCTCCAGGGGAAGGAGGAGAAACGTGTTTGTGCTCCCCAGCTTTTCCTCAAAGGCTCTTTTCAAGCAGCGGCTCCCAAGTGAGAGGTGCTTTGCGGCGTGTCTGGGCTCGTGGGCTTGGCTGCCGAGGACTTTTCCAAGTGCTTTTTGTCTTTGTGGCTCCTTCCCCTGCACCCCGCTGCCTCCCGACTCTCCTGCAGTCCCTGTCTCTTTCTGGTCCTTTCTCAGAGGAAGTCGTGCCTCCTTCCAAGCATTCCCAAGCCGCTCTATGCACCCTGTTTTGGCAAACTGGCTCCAGCAAAGCTGGCAGCGGCGAGCTGAAACATCACAGCATCCAGCTGGCTGCTCTCCTCTGCTGCCGGAGGGTCCTGCATGTCCCTTGTGTGTCCCTGGTCCCTTTTTTGAACCTGAACGTGGCTGTGGATTTGTACTCAGGCCCCAAGCTCCGAACCTGGGCTTGAAGAAACATCCCCTGCGGCTGCCTCTGCTTCCCCAGGGGAGCGTCTGGCAGAGCCTGACACCAGCCATGGGCTGATTTATGCCGCCGCCTGAAATAAAGCGTTGCCCGTCCTGCTCTTCACGCTGGGTGAGCCGAGCCCGTTCAAAAACCAGTTTCAGGACGAAACTTGTGTGATCCCTTGGTGTGAACCAGGCCTAGGCAGACAGGTACGGGGGAACGCTGCACCCCTGGGCAGGGCATGGGAGAGGTGTTCTCACAGCGTGGGCACAACGGCGATGGGGGCAGCTGTGGGAGAGATGCCCTGATTCTGCAAGGGACCACGGCCAGGGGCTGCATGTGACTGGCTTAGAAGAAGGAGAGCGAAGGGGTCCTCACCATCTGGGCAGATCTGGGGTCACCACTCCGGGGTGCAGCACCCCATGGCACCTGGTGAGAAGCGGCACAGGGCAGCAACTCCCCTGTTCATGCCACACGCTGGGCACTTGGAACAGGGACCCATCTGCCCCAAATCACAGCCAGGACTTGTGTGTCTGTCCCCTTTGTGCCCACAGCCCCAAAGTGATGTCCACAGCCCCCTGCAGCAATCTCTTGCCCTTTCCCCCACCCCCCACCCCAGCTCCAAAATGCCCTTTGGGGAAAGAGGCGGTGGTCTTTGTGTCCCTTTAAGACGCGGCGATGCTTTGCCAACGCCAGCTGCTCCCCAGCCACACACGCTCCCCTACAATGCCCTTTTCATGCGCAGCGGCCGTCTGAGCAGTGAAATGCCCCTTCAGAGCCGCGCCGTGCCCGTGCCAGCTGTGACTCTCGCAATGCGGGTGCTCTCTCAGCATGGCACAGCATCCTGGCCAGCTCCGCCGAGAGCGATGCCAGCGAATGCCCCCGGACCGCGGGAGCTCTCCCTCGCTGCAAACACGGCACCGGTAAAGGTGGCTGGGCAGCGCAGCTGTCCCGGTCCTCTCGGCATCCCCAGGGATGCGCTTGCTGGTCTCTTTTCCCCGGCACTGAATGCCCGTTTCTACTCCAGGTCACCTGGCAGCGCTGCAGTCATAAATCCTGGCCACCTGCCCTCAAGGGCCAGTACAAATGCTGCCTCGTTAGGTTTAGCTAATAAAGCAATAACAACAAGAGAAAAAAGCGAGCTAATCCCTGAGTGCTGGCGCTGGGCTTTGAGGTGCCATATTGCACCAGGGAGAAGCGGCGAGGCAGCCGGGCTGGGCAGGCTGCGAGCCGGGCAGCGGGGAGCCCGCAGCCATATGGAACCCACCTCAGATCTGCTGGGAATTACAGCGCTGATATTTCCAGGGAAAAAGCCAGTGTCCCAAGCAGGGCTGGTTTATTTGCAGCCTCCGGAGAGACAAGGCAGCAGATCCCTGAGTGCAGGGAAGGGGAAGAAATGGGTTCAAGAAGAGAAGCAGCATCACAGAGGAGGCTCATGGGGTTGGAAGGGTGGGTGTGAGCCCCCCCTCCCCACCTCATGGACCTGCTGTTGTAGGCAGAAGTGTGTAAAACCCAGAGCCAGGCATCTCTAAGGGCACCTCTCAAAATGTAGAGTGTGCCTGTCCTTAATGCCTCACAACATCATTTTTCCCCATTAGAACCCCTCCCTAGCCCAAATGCCAGAGCATTTCCAGCCTGACACACCCCACCCCAACTCTCTTCCCAGCCACAGTCCCTCTGCAGTGTGGTGGCATCGTGCCAAGTGCCACAGTGAATGGATTGTCCCATGGAACACGCAACTGCCATGCTTCCCAAGGGATTCCTGCAGTGCTGGGGAGCAGAGTCCCACGGGTGCCTTGCTGCCCTGACCATGGCTCCCCCAGACAGCTGGGCTGAAGTCCATGTGAATGTTGAACCCCACTGGAACAGATCTGGTTCTCACAGAAACCCCAGCTGGCCAGGGATGCGTTCTCCAGGTGCACTGGTTGCTTGGACATTTTGGGAGAAAGGTCCCTTCCTTAGTATCCTCTCCAAAGTCTTCCAGATGTGACCAGCCCTGCGACTGCACCATCCAGGCTGGGACTTCTACACTGAATGACACCCAGTGTGAGGCCATGTCCTCATTGTGTGCCCATGCCTTCCTCTCTGTCACCATTATGTCACCCTGGGGAAGTATGACGGGGCCCACACCCCTTGCTGCTGAGTGTTGTGCTCATGTCCAGGCTGGGAAGCAGAACATCCTTCACTTGCTGGTCGAGGTGGAGTCACATATGTTTGTGACAAGGACTGGGGTGTCCCTGCACAGAAAAGCTACTCTGTCCTTAGAGACCAGTTCTGGACAAAAACACTCCCTGGTACAATGTGACAGGGGGTGCTGGGACTCACTGGCCTGTCTTTGGTGCCAGGAGCACTGGTGGATGTGGGCACAAAAAGCCTAAAGGAGGCTGGTGTGTTGTGACTGCCTAGCAGGGTGTTTGATGAACTGGAGCCCAGGGCTTTTCATCTCTCACGGGCATATTTCCCAAGGAGAAGTGCATGCTCACCACTTTCTCCTGAGCTGCAGCCCAGGTTGGTTATGAATAATGTATCAGATAACAGGCGATCGATGCGTCTCACCCGGACAGACTCCTCTCCTCCAGCCTTCCCCCAGCGCCTCTCTCGTTCTGCACGGCTGGACCTGTGCCCCTTGTCACTCATTTGCTGGTGGCATCATGCATGGACAGTTGGGACTCAGCCCAGCGGATGAGTGCAGTCAGAGGTGCCAGCAGTGACAGCCAGGCACGGGACCAGTTCAGTGGATCATTTCATATCGCATTTCCAGGGAAAAATTTGGCAGGTACAGGATCTTCCACCCCACCAGGGGTTTCCCTGCGAGGCAGAGCTCAACAGCAGCAATCAGTAACTCTCCTATCCACACCAGCAGGGATGGGAGTCTCATATCCAGGGACCTCAGGTGGAGGGAATATGGACCTAGGGATGCACAACCAGGATAAGGAGAAGGTGAGTCAGCCCATAAGGAGCTGCATGTGATTTGTGGATGGGAGAGCAGTTTCTTGCCACTGCCAGGCCATTTGCCATGGGGACAAATGAGTGAATTTCATTGCATGCACTCCTTGAATGCTGTGTCACTTGCCAGAGCTCCCCAGTTGAGTGGAAATGGGGCACAACCTTACTCAAAAGCCCTCTGAGAGGATGCTGCTGAGGCCTAATGGAATCTGAAGCTAAGGGAGCCGAGCCAGGAGCAGGAGTAAGGGCTGAGACAACCTTGAGCAAAGGGGGATTGGCAGAAGTGGATGCAGATAAGGAACGGATGCTCTTGGTGGGGTGTGTCTGAGCACACATGCCTGGTGTTTGCAAATCCACACTGATTTATCCTGCCTCCAGGACTTTGGCCAAATAACATCTTGGCAGGAATTTCTTGGCAAGATGTAGAGACAGCTCTGGCCTTGGCAAGGCCAACACTGAACCTTTCAGGGAGACCAGGACCAAGAAAGTCTCTGATCACTTAGACTTCCAGAGGGATGCAGGTACCAGGGCTCCAAGCATCCTCCTCCTTTCCTGCAGCAGCCCATTCGTGGGTCTCCCACAGCACTTCTCGGGTAGCTCTCAGCCAGTGAGGAGAGCAGCTGCATGCTCCCAAGCCTTAGACAGCATCACTTCAGCTGGTTCCCATTGTATTTCCAGATCGCTCTGGGGCACTGTCACCTCTGTCTATCGCCCACAGAGCCTTCAGTGAATCACAGACTCACCTGGGCACAGTCAGATCCCCCATCCCCTTTTGTCTTCTCCAGGAGCTCAGCATTTGGCTCAGCATCTCAAGTTCTCTGTTCCTGAAATGTTTTGGGATCACACCATTACCAGCAGGGCCAAGACTTGATCTCTTGGCGACACTGGAGATTAGCTCCAAGGCCTTGAACTGGCAACAGAAAGAGAGGCAGAGGCTGCTTGGAACTGTTTCCAACTGGGCCAGGCACACAGTCGGCAGAGGATGTAATCCCTCCCCAGGGATGCCACTGTGATCACAGAACAATTATGAATAGACAAACCTCACAAACTCCAAGGGTGAGAGCCAGTTCTCAGGGCATCACAACCACATAAGCTGACCATGCCAGTGACAAGGGACCATAGAGCCAAGTTTGGGCAGCCACACTGACCTGTCACTCCTGAGTGCTTCCTGTGTAATAAATGTTGCATGAGGACATTCCTCCATCCAGATGCCCAATGACAATCCCATAAGCCCACTGATTCAGAGCCAGGATCAAAACCCATTGCCTCACTCCTTCCCAGGGACTCCCCTGCCTCATTTTGTCATGCCTGCACAATTTAACCCGCTGCCTGCTCTTCGCAGCTGATGCTGCTTTGCTCCATCTTTCTGAGAGCTTTGGCTGCCTCCCTCTCTCCTGTCTCATGGGAAAGTAGTTCCCAAGGTGCTCAGAGCAGCAAGGCCAGAAAACCAGGGCACTTCTCCAGCTCACCTAATTGTTGGTTACTGTCCCTCTCCCTCGGTGCCTAATTAAGTGGAGCAGGAGGAAAGCCCAGGAGAAGCTGCTGAAGGCACAGGAACACGTGTGCACATTACGGAGAGGCTGGTGAGTGTCCTCATCCACACCGCTTTAAAAACAACAGGAGGAGAGTGATACCAGGGAACAAGCAGGAGCAGTGACTGGACCTCGTGTCTAGACCTGGATGCACACCTGTGATGTGACAAACACTTTCACACATGCTTGTTGCTAAGTGATCTGCCAGACAGCTGTCAGATTTAGAACAGAGAAGAGAGCTCATCCCAGAGGGGCTGCACTAGGGATGAGCAGGACCAGGGCTGGTGGCCAGGCTCCCTTCTGGGCTCCAGCTCTTGCTTATCTCCCACCCCAAACTTCAAACCACCTCCTTTCTATTGAATTTTTGTAATGGCTTCTTGAACCCAGTCCCAGGAGTGCATGGGACATGAAAGACCATCTTGAAACTGATTTCCTGGCTGCCTCAGCCTTGTAATCCCTTAGAACAGTGGGTGGAGTTGGATGCTGGTCCAGGGTCTGACTGAAAATCCCTGAGCAGACCTGACTCTTTCTGCCATAGTTTAGGCAGGATTTCAGAAGAGCTATTTCAGCTTTGAATCCTTGCTTCAAATTTATTGCAAGCCAGGGCTCCCTGAACAAGCACCTGGCTGCAGAGTATTGAAGGGGAGGAACCCCACTCCATCAGCACAACATCTGCGAAGCCGCGGTCCCTGGGAAGACATCACTGCAGGCAGAGGAAGAGCTGAGCTGGTACTTTAGAGAAGTCTGTCCTAAACATGATGCCAGCCCAGCTCCTTGCTGCATCACTGCATTCCCATGGTCCAACAGCTCGGGTTTAGCTCCTGCTCTCAGCTGAGGACAAGCAGCCAGACTGCTGGATTCGCCCGTGGTGTCCTGATGGAGGCAGGGCACGTGTGTGGCTCTGTGTGCAGGCAGAGCTTTGTCTGACACATGCCCAAGCCCAGGAGGACAGTGAAGGCAGGATCCCGAGCACCGGCAGCACGTGGTGCTGGGATGCTGGAGCCATGCCTGCCTCATGCTTTGCTGTAGCCTTTGGCTCTCCTCCTGCTGCCTGCCAGTGCATTTCTCCCCATGACAAATAGTCCCCCGATGTCACCGAGGATCGTGATGCTGTTACACTTCTTGCTGAAAGAAGCAATAAGGGCTGGGGTGGGGTGAGGCCTTTCTGGCTCCACATCTCCCTCCTGCAGCCAGCCTGGCCCCGCAGGGCTGCTCCAATGAAGGGCGGTGAAACAAACTCACCAGGACCCTGCTTAATAAAACAGGGGGCTACACAGGAAAACTGGAACAAACACTAGCGGGAGCATTTGCTTTGCCAGGATGCTCCAGCCAGCTCTAGGCAAAAAGTTTGAGCAGCCAAACTTTCCCTGCTCAATATTTGTGTTTGTTTTATCCCCGTTGCCTGGGCTGTAGTGAAAGATTTATCTCCAAGAGAGAAAAGGCAGCTGGGTTTGGTGGCATATGTCTCCTTCGGGATCCAGCCCATTTTGGGCCATGCATGGCTAAGGGTGAACTTAATGTGCATGGTCTGAGCTGAGCAGTGACTTCCAACAACCTTGGGAAGGTTTAAGCAGCAAGTTGAGCCCTGGGGATGGACAGGGCATCCCAAAGCAACATGCCCTTCTTCCCTGCCTGCATCCCTACCAAAGCAGAGCCCAGGACCCTTCAAACACCCAGTTTTTCAAACACCCACCATGCCTTGTCCCACTTGTGCCAATGCTGGCAGCCTGGAGACCGGTGTAGTCACGAGGAGTCCTCAGATGCACTTCTGAGCAGGTCTGGTTCCACACACGGGCACTGTGATAGAGCTGTGTGGGTTTAAATACAAGACAAACTCGCTAAAGTCTGGGTTTTCACAAGTTGTGAGCACAATGCTGTGTCATCATTAGCACTGTCTGTCAAGGAGCCCCGAGCACTGCTAACCCAGACTGTTCTGCTCTGGGGTTAATTCCAAAGACAGCATGATCACAATCTCTGTATGGTTTTACCTACTTGCAAAGGAACAGCAGAAGTCCAGAGTCAGGTCAGGTTCCACGTAAGAAAAGAAAAGAAAAATCAAAGAAACCAAGCTTGGATGGAGCCTGTGTATGATGTAGCCTTATTTTTTTTCTATATACCCACTGATCTTCAAGATGGACTTGCCACAGCTGGTCTGCCCCTCTATGAACAGCCTCAGGAGCCAGCTTGCCCTTGGTGTGGGTCTCTCACAGTGCACAGATGAGCCCTTTGGAAACCAGAGCAGGGGTTGGAGAGCAAGAGCGGTGAAGAGGCCTCCTGGATCCTGGCTTTGAAATTTTTTTTGGTAGGTAAGCAGTCTTGACATAGCCTGACTTCAGACCTCAGTTTCCCACTCCCCCCCACCAGAGGATACCAGCTGCCCAGGCAGAGCCAGACAATTCCAACAGAAGATGTGAGGAGAGGGGAAGAGCCACAGCATCCAACTCCATATCCGTTGGCATTGCCAGGGGAAATTCTTCCTGAGCACATGAGACGGCAGCCACACAGCATGGTATTGAGAGTGGAGTTAGCGAGTTAATTTGGCTTCCCAATTAACGACAAGGGAGGTCATTACTGAACTGCTCATGGCTCTCTGTCCTGACACGTTGTTGCCCAGAGCCTGGAGCTTGGCAGTGGAGCAAAGAGGATGGGCTGGGGGCCCTGATGAGGCATTTGCCCCCCACCCTGTGAATAAAGCCCAGTGCAAGCAGAAATCCACAGCAAACGAGGGGATTGGGATGGGTGTTCCCAGAAGCACTCACCCTCCTGTCTGTGCCAGGACCCCTCACATCCCCACTGAGTCCTCCCCTTCCTACAGCCATCCCTGGAGCATCCAGGCTGTCTGAGCAGGGCCTTGGAGCTGCCCTGCATGTACCTGCACCTGCACAATTCCCAGCTGTGCATGGACACTGCTTGCTGTCCTACCCCTGTAGCTTTGCTCCTGACAGGTGTACCCAGAACTGAGGGGTGATGCTTCACATGCAAAACCCAGAAATTATTAAAAGAAAACTGGTCAGGAACACTTTGGATTCAAGAGTGGGGCAACAAAGTGCCAAGGCTGAAACATGATGAGGCTGGAAATTTTTCCCATCAGGGTGGGATTTAGCAAGGGTTTTTCTCCCTATAGCTGGGTGAATCACATGCCCAGAGCCTGTGAAGGCAAGATAACCCTGGGCCAAACATGCAGCTACTGAAAAGGTGTGACACACTACTGTGGCATCCCTGGCCATACCAGGGCTGTCCTGCCACCCTACACACTAAATGTGCTCCATCAGGGCCACTGAGACCCAGAATATCCCCCTCCTGCCAGTGCCCTTTACAGCAGCTTTGGTGGGGCTGGAAACACCTTCCAACGGGTGGGACAGGGTGAAGAGAGTTATTCTCTCACCCATCACCCCGTGGGGTGCACCCCACAGCAGCTCCCTCCACCGTGCCAGTGCTGCTGTCAGCAAAGGCAGGTTCTCCACCGACCTCAGGCTCTGGCAGCTCGCAGGGGCCCTGCCTGCCTGCAGCCCCGAGCAGGACGGGGATGGGGATGGGGATGG